CTGTCCTGGACCTCACCCTGTAGACCAGGCTGGCCTCAAACTCAGAGATTTACCTGTGCCTGCCTCACAAGTGCTGGAATTAAAGGTGTGCACTGCCACCACCACTACCACCACCACCACCCAGCTGCTGCCTTTTTCTGAGAGGAGGCATGCTTACTCTAACTGGGTTTACCACCCTGTTCCTGCTTGCAGCATCACTTCTGTTTCCTTCTGTCTCTGTCCCTTTAGTCCAGGCTGGCAAGGTTGCTATGGCACAGCATTTTTATAAATCTGTGTTTCCTCTGTGTCACAGAGAGCCAGACCACTAACCACGAGTGCCTGCCACAGGGCTTTTCTGGATAATCTCTCTCCTCCTGACTCTGCAGAAGTAATGGAATGGACTCATGAGTCACACATAGGCCAAAGGCTATCTAGTCACATACGTGGCTTCTCTTCCCAGAGCACCCTGTCCAGACAGGGGCGATCCCAGTGTCGGCATCTTTTTTTTTTTTTTTTTTTTTTTTTTTAACTGTGTAACCTGTGAATTTCCCGAATCACCAATGCTGCTTCCTTTTTGTTTAACAGTTCTTTCCTCAATTTCTCTTTCTTCCTGACTTTTAAGATGAGCCACAAGAAGAAGCTGGGCTGTAGCTGCTTGGAAATTGTTTCAGCTGAAAATCCATGTTTGTTAGCTTACAACTTCTGCACCGTCAGTAGAACACAACCTGGTCAACTTTGGCTGACAAGGATAACCTCACTTCTGTATCTGAGAATGTTTTTCTCTTTTATTTCTTCTTCTTCTTCCTCTCTGCCCCCCACCTTCTTTCAAGAAAATCTTTCGAGACAGATTTTCTCTGTGCAGCCCTGGCTGTCCTGGAACTAGCTCTATAGAACAGGGTAGCCTCAAACTCAAAGATCTACCTGCCTCTTTCTTCTTCTTGACAGGATCTTTCTATGTATCCCTGGCAGGCCTGGAACTCACTATATAGATCAGCATTACGCTAACTCATGATCTATCTGCCTCAGCTTTATTGATGTGAATAGACACCACAACCAAGGAACTGCTTACAGTTTCAGAGAGTTAGAGTCCATGACCATCATGACATGGAGCATGGTAGCAGACAGGCATGCCAGTGGATCAGTAGCTAAGAGCTTACTTACATCCTGACCTGCAGGAAGAGAAAAAGAGATTGGGCCTATTGTGGCCTTCAGAAATCTCACCCTCAGTGACACACCTCCTCCAATAAGGCCACACCCTTAATCCTTCCCAAACAGTTCCACTAACTGGGGCCCAAGCATTGAATCATGTGAGCCTATAGGAGCATTCTCATTCAAACCTCCACACTTTTCTTTTTCTTCTTTCCTTCCTTCCTTCTTTCCTTCCTTCCTTTCTTTTTTTGAGGAGGGGTCTGCTGTATCCCAGACTTAATTTCAACTCACCATATAGTCAGAGATGACTTTGTGCTTTTGATCCTCCTGCCTGCAATTCCCCAGAGCTGGACTGCAGTCATGTGTCACATTGCCACTGTGCCTAGTTTATGAGATGCTGGGGATCAAACCCTGGGTTTTGGGCATGCTAGTCAAGCACTCTTCCAGCTAACATGATTTCACCAGCAACATCTTTAGGATTCTTTTTATCTCTCCTTCTCCTCTTTCCCTTAAATGTTGGTCTCACTATATTGCCCAGGTTAGCTTGAAACTCCTTGGCTCAAGCAATCATCCTGTCTTGGCCTTCAAAGGCCAAGCTGGGATGGGGCCATACCATGTGACACTGAGCCCTTTCTTTCTTCCATGTTTCTAACAGCAGCCACTAAGGCAGTCCTAGGGTTTTTTCTCTCATATGCCACAAAATTCTCCAATTTCTGTCTGTTACCTAGTTTTAAAACCATTTCCACATTTTTGTTGTTGTTCTTTTGTTGAGACAGTGTCTCATTATGCAGCCCTTGCTGACCTGGAACTAGCTATGTAGACCAGGCTGCCCTCAAGACCCACCTGCCTCTGCTTCCTAAGTGCTGGGATTAAAGATGTGTGCCACCTTGTAATAATATCTGCATTAATTTCCTTGGTTGTTTTAGACCACTGCGGGCCAGAAGTCCAGCATCCAAACATTGGTGGGCGCTTCCTTTGGAGGCTCTTGGGAAAATCCTGCCCTGCCTCCAGCTGTCCTGTTCCATGGCTCGTACTACACCCTTCCAGTCTCTGCCTCTGTGTTTTTCCTCTTCTGTGTCTCCTGAGGACACTTGTCCTTAGACGTAAGACCACCTAAATAATTCAGGATGACCTCCTGAAATAAAAATAATCCCCTCCTAAAATAATGGGATTTTAATTAGATCTGTCTCCAAGTAAGTTCACATTTATAAATTTCAGGGACATCGATGTATGTGTTGGGGATCTGCCATTTCATTCTTGCTTCAAATTGTTAGCTAGTGTTTGATGTAAAACATAGGCATTTTTTTTTCTTGGTTTTTCGAGACAGGGTTTCTCTGTGGCTTTGGAGGCTGTCCTGGAACTAGCTCTTGTAGTCCAGGGTGGTCTCGAACTCACAGAGGTTCACACAGCCTCCCGAGTGCTGGGATTAAAGGTGTTCGCCACTAACGCCCGGCGACTTAGGCATGTTTTACACCTGCTCCATGTTTATTATGGAGCTTTACTGGTGACTCTATGATGTAGTGTTATGAAGTATTTTAGACCTTTGTAACAATTTTTTAGCAACTAGGTCTTTTGCTTGGTGTTTCTTTTTTCTTTTCTTTTTTTTTCTTTTCTTTCTCTCTCTCTCTTTTTTTTTTTTTACATTTTTGTTTTATGTGTATAAGTTTCTTGCCAAAATGTGTGTAGGTCTGTGCAACACTTGCATGCATGGTGCCCTTGGAGACCAGAAAAAGGTGGAGCTCTTCTTGCACTGGGGTTACAGATGGTTGGGAGCTACCCTGTGAGTTCTGGAAATAGAACGGTTCTCTGGAAGATCAGTCAATGCTTTTTTTGTTTTTTGTTTTTGTTTGTTTTTTGAGACAGGGTAGCTTTGGAGCCTATCCTGGCACTCAATCTGTAGACCAGGCTGGCCTAGGACTCACAGGGATCTGCCTGCCTCTGCCTCCCAAGTGCTGGGATTAAAGGCGTGCGCCACCAGTGCCCGGCTTAGTGAATGTGTTTAATCACTGAGCTATCTCTGCAACCCAGCCAACTAGGGCTTTAGCTAAAAAAGGTACCTGGTGAACCTTAGCAGCTGTTTTATCTATATCTACCTACCTATCTATTGTGTTTTGAGATAGGGTTTCTCTGTATAGCCCTGGTTGTCCTGGAACTCTGCACCCAAGATAGTCTCAAACTCAAAGATCTGCCTTCCTCTGCCTCCGAAGGCCTGGTGAGACTGGATGTTTTAGTAAAGAAAAGAGGCTTATTTAGCTGGAGGTGCTGGAGATTGAAAGTCTACAGTCAACAGCTTCATTTGGTTGGCTTCTTTGTGAGGAGTGAGAGCCTTTGGATTCCAGTAGAGTAAATGGCATCAGGTGGGAGAGTGGGCTAATGGCTGTGGAAGAGAGACCCTGGGAAGGGCCAGGCTCTTTGAGAACAGTCTGCTTTGGCAAACGCTAATATTGTCCCCTGAGAGACAGCACCCCCATGAGACAACACTAATCCTTTTTAAACAGCTAATTATTTCTCTTAAGTTTTGTTGCTTCAGTCCCTTTACCTTGAGGAGTTAAGCCTCAGCATGAGTTTTGGAGGGGACAAACCACATTCAAACCTCAGCAGTGAACACATCCGATTAGACCATTTCCTTCTCCTAGGACATTGAGGCTATTGTTAGTTTTTAAATTATAAACCGATATATAGGTGGGAGTGGTTCAGATGGTGAAGGCAATTATTCCCAAGCCTGAGGACGTGAATTTGTCCCCAGGATCCACACGGTGGGAGGAGAGAACTGACTTCTACCTCCTCTATGCTACCACAAGCATACAGTGAATAAATACATAAATTGTTTGAATTTCTGGTTTTCAAAGTTTAGGCTTTATTTACACCAAATGGCATTTATCATGTTGGTAAAAAATCCAAAAATCAGCTGGGTGGTAGTGCAAGCCTTTAATCCCAGCACTCGGGAGGCAGAGACAGACTGATCTCTGTGCGTTCTAGACCAGCCTAGTCTACCAGAACTAGTTCCAGGACAGCCTCCAAAGTCACAGAGAAATGCTGTTTTGAAAAAAAAAAAGAAAGAAAGAAAGAAAAGAAAAAAGAAAGAAAGAAAAAAAGAAAGAAAGAAAGAAAGAAAAAAAGAAAAAAAGAAAGAAAGAAAGAAAAGAAAAAAGAAAGAAAGAAAGAAAGAAAGAAAGAAAAAAAGAAAGGCCACCCTCCCGTGTGCCCGCTTAGGGAGCAAGGGTGTGAGAGACCACCAAGGTATGGGGTTGATGGAAGAGCCATGGTTGAAGCATGTGCATCAGATGTCACCCTTTTACATTAGAAGGCAGAAAAATCAAGATCATATTAGTATTTACTTGATTATTTTCCATAAGGAAACCCGAGGAATGAGCAGGAAGCGATTGTATTTGTGCTATGTTTGGGATCATGAAGGGGCCCGATGGGAGGAAGACTGTTAATTCTCTAATATTTATGTGACACCCCTCCCCCTGCCCAGGCTAGCCTCAAACTTTCCATGTAGCTGGGGATGACCTTGAACTTCTGACAGATAATATTTTTTTGTTTCATTTATTTTTTTTAATTTATTTATTTTTATTGTATGTACATTGGTATTTTGTCTGTAGAATGTCTGTATGAGGGCATCGGATCCCCTGAAACAGTAGTTACAGACAGTTGTAAGCTGCCACATGTGTGCTGGGAATTGAACCCAGGACCTCTGGAAGCACAGTCAGTGGTCTTAACCACTGAGCCATCTCTCCAGCCCCAGTTTTGTTTTGTTTTTTAAAATGCCCTCCTCCCCTGCCAATCCCCAGTGCTGAGGATGAATCCAGCTGGGGTCTGTGTGTGTGCTCAGCAGATGCTCCATCACTGAGCTGCATCCCCAGCCCTCAGCTCTCTCAGACAGCACTTATACAGCAGTGGGAATAATACAGAGAATATTAGCATGACCTCTGTGCAAAGGATGCTCAAATTCAGGAAGTATTCCATATTAAGAAACAAATTAAAAAAAATTTCTAAGATGTTTGCTGATGTTGTGGTTGATTTTTTCCTAGGACTACCAAAGAGAATGGACATCTATCTCTCTAGAGTCCATGTTAACAGTTTCAAAGAAATAATATGTCTTTATCATTACATAAATGAGCAGATGAGGTCAATGTTAACAGAGTCTCCTCCCCACGCCAGCAAGTGGGTTGACCAGAACCAGTTAGTGACTGTGCCTAGGTCAACTTACTGAGTACAGTTATCTGGGCAGTTGGACAGCTGCATTCTGAATGGTGACTATTGACTCAGAATTAGCTGGGTGTGGCCCATGCCTTTAATCCCAGCCCTCTAGAGGCAGAGGCAGGTGGATCTCTGTGAGTTCATGGCCAGCCAAAGATACACAGTGAGACATACTTATATATCTTGGGGTTTTTTTTCTTTTTCTTTTTTGAGATAGAATCTCATCTAACCCAGGCAGCCTGAAACTCCTTTGTGTAGCTGTGCTTGACCTTAAATTCTGACCCTCCTGATTGCTAGGATTATATAGGCATGAGTCACTGCACCCAGACTCTTGGGTCTTTTGAAAATGTATTTGAAGCCAGTAGTCCAGTGAACTCTACTTATTTTGGTCAGAGATAGGTTGAGTTTGTTTGGATGCTAAGAGGAGCAATAGATGGTACAGAAAGCTTTGCTGGTCCTGATGCTAGGGTACCAGCCACACTTGTCTCTCTCCATTTGTTCTCTCACGCCCTTTTTGCCACACCCTCCCATAGTCAGTATAGTGAGGAAGCATCTGGGACTGTCTTTGTGATTTCAAAGAGACATTATCCTCATGGTAACAACATACATCTTTCCTAGTTTACTGGTCCCAAACCACTGCCCTTTTTTAAGTCTCAAGATGTAGCCAGGCTGGACTCAAACTCACAATGTTCTTGCCTCAGTCTTTGGGTGCTGGAATTACAGATTTGAGTTACCATGCCTAGATTACTGGACAATGTGTGGTGCTGGTGGTGGTGCTGGAGTGGGTGTGTGTGTGCGTGCGTGCGTGCGTGCGTGTGTGCGCGTGCGTGCGTGCGTGTGTGTGCGCGCGCGCAGGCTAGAATTCAGTTCACAGTGTCTTCCTCTGTTGGTTGGTTTTTGTATTTTTTTATTTTTATTTTTTTATTATTATTTTTGAGACAGTTTCTCTTACTTATCAGAAGCTTGCCATTTATTCTTCCTTATTTTTTGTATTTTTTAATTTTTATTTTATTATTATTATTTTTGAGACAGTTTCTCTTACTTATCAGAAGCTTGCCATTTAGACTAGTTTGGCTGGCAAGCGAGCCCTGAGAATCTTCCTTTCTCCACCCACCCAGTGCGGAGGTTGTAAATGGGCCATAATGTCTGGCTTGCCTGGGGCCTAGGAATCTAAACTGAGGTCTCCATTCTTGCATAGCAGGCAGTTTACTCACTGAACCTGCCTCTGGCCCTTTAAAAGATGATAGTTTTTTGTTGTTTGTTTTTTCAAGACAGGGTTTCTCTGTGTACTCCTAGTGGTCGAACTCCGATTCCCCTGCCTCTAAGGCCCAAATACTAGGATGTGGAGAAAGGGAAATGCTTCTCCATTGCTGGGGGGAGTGCCAACTTGTACAGCCACTTTGGAAATCAGTATGGCAGTTTCTCAGGAAAATGGATCCAGTCTACTTCAAGATCCAGCAATTCCACTCTTAGGCATTCACATTCATACAAGGACATCTGTTCAACTATGTTCATAGCAGCATTATTTGTAATAGCCAGAACCTGGAAGCAACCTAGATGCCCCTCAACCAAAGAACAGATACAGAAAATACAGTACATTTACACAATGGAGTTCTACTCAGTGGGGAAAAATGGAATTTTGAAATTTGCAGGCAAATGGATGGAACTAGAAGACACCATCCTGAGGGAGGTAACCCAGTCACAGGAAGACAAACATGGTATGTGCTCACTCATATATGGATTTTAGACATAGAATAAAGGATACCAGCCTACAATCCACACCTCCAGAGAAGCAAGGAAACAAGGAGGACCTGGCACTAGGGAATTGTACAGAGATCCACAAGGATGACCCCAACTAGGAACCTAAGCAATAGTGGAAAGGCTACCTTAAATGCCCTTCCCCTATAATGAGAATAATGACTACCCTAAATGCCATACAGGATCCACCAGAGAAGTAGAAAAGACAAGAGCCCCTGAACAAATTGGGAGCATGGTGGGGGGAGGGAGAAAGAGAAGGGAAGAAGAGAAGGGGGGAGAACATGAGGGATCAGGAACACTGAGTTGGGGAGAGGAATAGAGGAAGGAGAGCAGGAAAAGAGACATCAATAGAGGGAGCCACTATAGGTTTAAAGGGAAATCTGCCACTAGGAAATTGTACAGAGACCCACAAGGATGACCCCAACTAGGAACCTAAGCAATAGTGGAGAGGCTATCTTAAATGCCCTTCCCCTATAATGAGAAAGATGACTACCCTAAATGTCATCCTAGAGCCTTCATCCAGTAGCTAATGGAAGCAGAAGCAGAGATCCACTGCTAAGCGCTGAGCCCAACTCGTGGAATCCAGTTTCAGAGAGGGAGGAGTGACCAACAAAGGGGTCAAGACCATGCTGGGAAAACCTGCAGAAACAGCTGACCTGAGAAAGTGGGAACTCATGGACCCCAGTCTGACAGCTTGGGAACCAACATAGGACCAAACCAGGCCCCCTGAATAGCCTTCATCCAGAAGCTGATGGAAGCAGAAGCAGGCACCCACAGCTAAACACTGAGCCATACTCCTGGAAACCAGTTGTAGAGAGGGAGGAGGGATGAGCAAAGCAGTCAAGACCGTGCTGGAGAAGCCCACAGAACCAGCTGACCTGACCCAGTGAGAGCACACGGACCCCAGTCATAGAGCTGGGGAACCAGTATTGGACTGAACCAATCCCTCTGAATGTGCATGCTAGTAAGAAGGCCTGGGCAGGCTATGGGACCTCTAACAGTGGAATCAGTATTTGTCCCTAGTGTACAAAGGGACTTTGGGAGCCCATTCCCTATGGAGGGATACTGTCTCAGCCCAGATACATGGAGGAGGGCCTAGGCCCTCCCCCAAATGATGTGACAGACTTTGATGACCCCCCCATGGAAGGTCTCACCCTCCTTGGGGAGTGGGTGGGGGATGGGTTGGGGGGCTTGGTAGAGGATATGGGAGGATGGGAGGGAGCGGGAAGGGGGGATTGATTCGTAAATGACTGTTTCTAAATAAAAAAAGGAAAGAAAAAACTATAAAAAATTATCACTTTCTTTTAGGCCAAGCAGTGGTGGTGCACACCTTTAATCCCAGAACTAGAGAGGGGCAGAGGAAGGCAGATCTCTGAGTTCAAGGCTGGCCTGGTCTACAGAGCAAGTTCCAGGATAGCCAGGGCTACACAGAGAAACCTTTTCTCAAAAAACTAAACCAAAACAAAACAAAATTGTTTTTATTTTGTGTTTATGGTATTTTGAATGCGTGTATGTCTGTGTACCACTGAAGAGGCCAGAAAAGGGAGTCAGGTATTCTGGAAATGGGGTTTACAGATCATTAAGAGCAGCTACATGGTACTGGGAATTGAACTTAGGTCCTCTGGAAGAGCAACCAATGCTCTTAATTGATGAGCTATCTCTGTAGCCCCATTCTTTTATTTTTTTAAAGAAATACATACATATATATATATATATATATATATATATATATATATATGCGTGATGTACACACAGTACCCGTGGAGGAACTGGAGTTACAGATGACTGTGAACTGTCCTGTCGGTGCTGGGAACAGAACCCAGGTCCTCTGCAAGAGTACTCTTAACTACTGACCCAAGGCTTCACCTAGACAATTTTCCTCAATTCAGTAGTAAAGTAGTCAGTAGTGTGGAATTCCTCAGAAATATAGCTTTCTTGGGCTCTAAAATTTCACGTCTTCATTAGGTCCTTGTTTGCTGTGGTGACAGCTTAAGGGGTGAACAAGGGAGGGTCAGATACCAAGAAACAGATGGGGAGGTCTTTCTCCAGAGGCCTGGAGGTGGGGTTTTACTGAGTCTGGTCTCCTGGGGTGGAAGCTATCTTCTGACATGATCTACAGCTGTCATAGGTTACCCTGCACAGTACCAACTGGGCCACTCCCCACTAACATAAAAGGCTGCCATTGAGGACAGACAGGTTTGAAGGTGGGCGCCTCAAGGGGAGCACCAGCCTGAGGTTGAAACCAGCTTGTTGAAGGAACTAAGGGGAGGCCCAGGGCCTCAAGGGGTGAAGCATCTGATGTGCAGGGTGGGTGGGAGCAGAGCTTCTCCCTTGGTTTGGACCCGTGGCGAAGCTTGCTAGGGTTACAGGGCACCTGTGAGGAAGGGTTGCTCTGTGTACAGAGGGGAGGGTCTAGCTCCTAGAGTCCTTGCGTGTTCATTCCTTTCTTGGTCATTGTCAGAAAGCTTCAAGTGGCCTTGGCTTTGTCTGGGATGTATGTCCCTAGGCCAGATGACATGATGGGACCCTTAGTCACCATGGGAGCAGTGTGTGGTCAGACCGCCTGTTCTCTGAAATAGCCAGAACAAGCTGGAGGTGGTGGGTTTCCTGCTGTGCCCCATGCTGCTGAGCAAGGCTGCAGTGAATGTCCTACTGCTTTGTAAGTAAAACTTGTCTGTAATCCACAGCTGATTGCCAGGGACCTAGAATCACAAAATCTGGGCAGTGAGGCTGGAGGGGGTGAGGGGGAAAGCCGAGCACTGTGGCGAGGGACTAGACATTGCTTCTCATCAAACGAAGATGGAGAAACGGACATCCTGCTTTTGTGTCACCATCCTGCTTCCTCCCCAAGGACACCTCTCTTGCCCCCAGGCCCCTTTTCATTTCCAACTGTGAGATCTGCTGGTTCTTGGGGCTGGAGGGATGGCTCAGCAGTTAAGAGCACTTGTTCTTGTAAACAAGGTGGACAGCTTCTGAAGAACAACACCTGAGTTTGCCTCTAGTCTGCATACACTCCGCACACATAGGCATCCACAGACACGGACACGGACACGGACACACATAAGATTTGTTTACTTGTAGGCTGAATCTCAGCTTGTCCAGGTATAACTTAGTAAAAAGTAGGAATTTAAGCTGGAGTATTTAGAAAATTGTGAGTGGGTTTATTTATTTATTTATTTTAAAGACAAGGTTTCTCTGTGTAGTCCTGGCTGTCCTGGAACTCCCATTGTAGATCAGGCTGGCCTCAAAGTCAGAGATCCGCCTGTCTCTACCTCCTAAGTGCTGGGATTAAAGGCATGAACCACCATGCATGTTGAAAATCATGTTTCAATTCTTTACTATTTCCCCCAAGTTTGGAAACTAGTAGACTGGCTGAATCCCAAAGATGTCAGGAATGGGGGCAGAGGGTTTTTTTTTTTAAAAGATTTTATTTATTTATTATGTATACAACATTCTGCTTCCATGCATATCTGCACACTAGAAGAGGGCACCAGATCTCATAAGGGATGGCTGTGAGCCACCATGTGGTTGCTGGGAATTGAACTCAGGACCTCTGGAAGAGCAGCTGGTGCTCTTAACCTCTGAGCCATCTCTCCAGCCCCGGCAGAGGGGTTTTAAGAGCCCAATGGGACTGATACCTGGATTCTTAGTCTAGGTTTGTGGATGTTATTGCTCCTGTGCCATTTTCGTGGCCTCGTGCCTCTGACTTGACCCATAGTAGTAAACCTGTCTGCAGAAAGATGGGTACCCTGGATCTGAGAAGGCAGCAGAGGGTCTTGGAGACAACCAAAGAAGAGTGGAGACTTGAGTATGACAGGAGACTGAGGGAGGCGGGAACCCTCCTGTGGTGGTCACCTCTGTCCCTCACTGTTTACCCAGCACAGAGGACCTAGGGTCCACCCTTGCGACTTCCTCGGCCACACAGAAGGGGGTAGAACTGATCTTCTGCAGGCATTCTAGGATGCAGACAGTTACCAACAGTGAGCTGCCTACCTCTCTGGTGGTTGATCCAGAGTAGCTGTTGACTGCTTCTTGGTGATGGTAGTGGAGCAGGAGCAGAGGACTGGACCCTGCTAGGAATCTCATGTCATGCTGGGTGGCAGTGGAAGTGGTGATAAGTGGGGCTGGCTATGAGGGATGGTGACCCCAAAGGTGTGTCCTGAGCCACAGGGTTAGTGGGAAGTGGGTTACCTTAGAACTGGACAGACCGGGCATGACAAAAACAGTCTGGCTGGAGAGGGAAAGGCTGGGACATACAAGCATCTTGAGCCTAGGATGGTGGAGTGACCAAGTATCACACTTGAAGAAATTGGATGGGACAGGACCCAGAGAAGGGGCACACTGCTGGTTGCCCTCCAGTTCCATCTATGGGGCACAGCTGGAGATCTAGACAGTGTGTCCCCTCAGAAGCAGATAGGTGGCTGAGGCTTCAGTGAGAGGTGCAGGCCCTGTGCAGATGCAACCTGCAGGTCATTCATAGCAGTCTCAGGTAGCAGAGCCCTGGACTGTGGAGCTGGCTGTGCATACATACTTGTCTAGACAGTGTGTCCCCTCAGAAGCACATAGGTGGCTGAGGCTTCAGTGAGAGGTGCAGGCCCTGTGCAGACGCAACCTGCAGGTCATTCATAGCATTCTCAGGTAGCAGAGCCCTGGACTGTGGAGCTGGCTGTGCATACATACTTGGCTGTTGTCTGTTGTCTGGGTAGTTGGGCTGGACTTTATTGGTTAGGAAGCTCATGCTGGCTGTGTAGAAGGGGGGGGGCAGTGTGGGGCAGGGCCTGGGGCTG